CCTTCCCTTGGTGTGTTCTTTTTTTTCTGGTTTGTTTGTTTGGTTTGGTTTTGTGGTGTGGGTTTTCTTGGTTTTATTTCATTTTAGCAAGATAGGATATGAGTTTCTAAAGAGGACACAGCCAGGCCAAAGCTTTAGAAGCAAGTCAGATGTATTAGCCCAAAGATTATGATGTACCTTCTGTCATTTTAGGCTAATCAAATGACATTAAGACTGAAGACAGAAGTTATAGCTTTTCCACAGAATTATTGTTCTGGAAAGGAACTGCTCACTTCAGCAATTTACACTTAAGTTACTCACAGCTATCTGAAACATTCTCAATGCAGTAGTACACCATATCACCTTTGTACTAAAAGTCTTAAACAGAAAGCTGTGAGATGAGGCTAGTACAGATACAAGAACTACAGGGCACTAAATTATCACAGGGAATTACAGTATCACAGTGTTTTCTGAAGAAAACAAGTATGATGGGTACTGGAAAAATGTTTTAAAACCCAAAAAATTTAACGGACTGTATCTTACTCCTTAATATGTGAATCAAAGGATGTCATGGAAATAAGACGTTCCTCCAGGACATTGATTTTATATCTCATGTAGAAGGTAGAAAATATTAATACACAAACACTGTAAAAGAAAAAAGGTACATCAGTTAATGGAAACTTCAGAGATACCTGACAAACTTAACATTAAAAGCCATTTAAATTGTTAATTGTACATGTTGAATAATAAAGGTATCATTCTCAGAAACACCTCAGGAATACCTATCAGTGGCATTCAGACAGTCATGAAAATCTCAGCCTTGAGTATGGCTTTGCTAAGTGACATGTAAAATGAACTTGCAAGTAGTTAAACTCTTTTGACAGTTCCTGAACCAAAAGACACTTTGCTTTCAAAAGCAAAAGGTCTGTTAAGTAAGCCCGCCCCAGCATTTCTACTTCTGAGAAGTATAAAGGTCACAATTCTCAATAATTTCCTTTTTTCAAGTGAAGCTTAGATTATATTAAACTAAGTAAACATAAGAAAATCTTGCTATCAACTGCTAACTTACAGAACTGCGTAAAATATAAGTACATGGTTCAGAGATAAGAGCTTCTGGGACTTCATTTTGTGGAAGAACCTGAAGGCTTCAGAATGGCCTGTGAGAAAAAGAACCAAGAGTTACTTTGATTAAAGCAGAACACAGAACACAAATGGTGTTTTGAAGCATGCAACAGATAATACAAACAGAGGCATAAGAGATCTTCCAAATTATGTGAACTGACTTAACTATGCAAACTTATTTCAACTAACTCCAGATGAAGATTTGCCCTTGATTCCGTACCATTTCGAGGACTGTTTTGGGCTTTTCCGTCAGGTCCGTGTTTACTGTGTGCATCTGAATGGACAGACTTTGCCTCAGTCTTGGAAACTTTCAAGTGAGTCTGTGTCTCAACAACATGGTAATCTGTCAAAAGCAGCATTTTTAATAAAGCTGAAATATGAAGTCAAAGAAAGCTATTGGTAGCTTAACATAGTCAGGGAGTAGGGGAAGAGGAGGATTTCAAATGTGCATTTCTGGATTTGGATAGAAAGCAGCAGTTGGTTTAGTAACCTTAAAATAGTTTGTGTAGTAATTCCACATAATCACTAAAATATAAGGAAGAACCTGGACTGGAAGAGAATGAGGTATACTGCATTTACATTGCCAGATCCTTTGAAATATAGCAACCTGTGCAAACTTTGAAGGTTATCACTCAGTTTCCAGTTGGATTATACAGACACACTAGTCATCTCTGAAAAGGACTGAATATGCTAGAGTAATGATTCCAAATGACATTAATAGCAACATCAAATGGAGATATTGCATTGTTACTTTAAAAAGGAGATTATAGCTCTCTTTCCTGACTGTTCATAAAATGCAGGTGATGTCTTGAAAGAGTTGGGAAAATCCAGTTACACTCATGCTTTTGTTTGTGCTTTACTTGCAGATCCTGGACTGCTCACAAGGAACAAAATCAGAAGTGACAGGTGAGTTCCCCCCCCAAACCTCAATTCCTTTTTCTAGGGTGATTCTTTAACTGGATATTGTTTTTCAATTGTGGAAAAGGAAAATCGAAAGGTCTGAAGTAGTTATTAGCTGTAAGAAAATAAAACAGCAGGTTAAATTTTTATTCAGAAGCATTCATGTGGCAAGTGATGACACCACAATTTAGTTACTGCTTCACAAACACTACCAAACAATTAAAAGTACACACCCAGTAAATAGCAAAGACCAATGAAACCAAATAGCCCCAAATCATGCCACTGAACAAAAGACACATAGGAAAAAAGACTTAATTAAAAATAACATGACAGAAAACTGAATTTCATTTACGGTAAAAGTTTCTTATTATACAAATTCTTTTATAGTCAAGATGGAACCTGGAGCAGTAACAATATAACAACACATTAATATGTTAATACATATTAATTGTACAGCAGAATACTGCCCTAGGTTTTGCTAATAACATTCAGCACCTGCTACATAAACCAAGTTCTGCTGTACTTATGAGCTTAATATGCAGTGAGTTTCTGCATAGCATTTCTGCTAGTCAGGTGAAGAACTCGATGCATATAAGACTACAAACAGCAGTGTTAAGAAAGAACAACTTTGTACAGTATCTTCAAGTGTCTTAGCTGTAAATAAAATCAGGGTTTAAACTACAATACCACAAAAACACATGACAAAAACAACTTTTGATGACCAAAAGCCACCACAGTATGGAACATTATTTGTCTAGATTAGAAGAAGTGACAGTATCACTTGAACTACTTTAGAATAGGGGGGTTTGTTTGCTTGTTTGTTTGGGGTTTTTTTTAAAGGAGGAACATCTTCTACATTGTTATCCCTGCTAGCATAACTGATGAGGCATGTGGGGAACAGATAGTACATGGATAAGCAGCTGGAGGCCATAGTGACAAATCAGATCTGCTGCTGACAAAGTCATTGCCTGAGTCAGGACTGCAAAGGGATATAATAATGGAAACACAGCTATTGTGGCTTTGAGGAAGACCTTAAAAAACCCACGTATTTCTCCAGGACTGTGGAGAATGTAGACTCCACATCAGAAGGGGATTACAGAACCAAAAATGAGAGCTAAGCCATTTTTATTTTCTTGGGGCTCCACAATCCCACTCACCTTGGAAGCATTCCAGCTCTGGGGTCTGTGAGCCTGTGCTGCTGGACTCTTCCATGTCTTGTCTTCGCTGCTGCACTATTCCATCCAGATCAGAATAGTCTTCATTGAAATCCTGAGGGGGAGAAAGAGTCACAAGAAACCTCAGCCCTGTTCTAGATCTGAACAACTTTACTTCCTCTGACCTCCCTCTAGAAACTGAACCAACAACTACAGTTTTAAAACTGCTTAACCAGGAACAATCTGATATCAAGATGTTGAGATTAAGTTAGCAAAACAAGCCCTGCATGATCAACAGAACTCAAGCCTCATCCCCTGCCTTCATTTAACTGAAGAGACTAAGTCTGTGTGCAACAAAAAGAGACTATTAAGTTAGACAAACCAAGAAGTCCAGGACAGACATTACTAGAATTAGGCTCTGATCATTACATGTGGCTACACAGCTCTTTCAGATGTCTGAACTGCCTCACAGAGGAAGGACTGCAACTACAAACACTTCAAAAACTGTTCATGGCAGAGGAAGAAGCAACTTTAAGTAAGTACAGAGCACTGTGAAACCTGACTGCTAAAGAGAGATATGTAGAGCATACAGACCTTGCAATACATCCACAGCATATGTATGTATATATACTTCATGTGATCAGATCAAATTACATCTATGCCAATCACTGCCACTGCTTCCTAATGTTAAAAAACTCATGGAAGTTTTAGAAACAGATCTCAAGGTTTCCTTCAGTTTCTTTTCTTCCTTTTTTCAGACACTGTAAGTAGTACTTGCAACAAAAGGTATGCATTGAAAGAACAAACATCCAAGCCATTTACCAAGGGCAGAGTTGTAGGATGATCAGCCCTGAAGCTGTTTTCTGCAGAAGAGGGATTTGGACTGTTGCCCACGCTTATATCCTGAAAAAAGGCAGCAGTGTTAACAAGGAACACACTCAGAAACTACCCAGCATTTGAAAGCAGGAAAGCATTAATAATGAACACAAACCTACATATAATTTTCATTCCCATTAGTACTTACCTCAAGGTGCCTACAGATAGATTTCAATAGCTTGTAGGTGGTATCTCTGGAGAGTAAGGAGACAAACATGTACTGAAAAAGAGAAGTTCCAAAACTGTTTGAGAAAAAGCATACAGTACAAACTTCCTTTTTTATAAATAAAACTGATAGGTGGTTTTGCTGATCAAGTAACTGTTTTCAAGAACTATCATATAGCAGGAAAAAACTCCACTCCTTCTAAGCCTAAGACCTGAGGTTAATCATAAGGAACATGGATCATGCACATAAAAGCTACCATGTTCTGCTGCAGGAACCAGAACATAGTCCAGATCTGGTCCAGATCTGTTTCTTTTTTTTTTTTAAAAAAAAAAAAAGACTTTGCATACTATGTTTTACCTACTCCTTAAAAAAACCCCCAATCCAATCCAATCCAATCCAATCCACAACTTGTTTTTTTTGTTGTTTTTTTTTTTTTGTACAGTCTCCTGCATCCACAAAGTATTTGTGCAGTGAAAATGGGCTGGTTCTAAAGCTGCTCTTAAGAAAGTAACATTTTCTACTGATTGATGCAATTATTCCTGAGTATCACTGTAAGTGATTGTATTTTGTGCATCTAAGGTACTGCTGATCAGGTAAAAGTAAATGAAAGACTGATGTTAGAGCTGCCAACAAGGCAGGTAACAATCTCTGCATGCACTTCATGACCCAGTTGTTTCAGTTCCCCCAGTGCTACTACACAGTCATCTTGGAGAATGGGGAATGACAGATTACAGAGCACAGGTGGCAACCAAAGATTCAGTTTCTTATTTTCTTAACAAGTTCTATATAGCTTTGTTTACTGAAGATACAAAGAAAAAAAGAGAAGGAGTTAGCAAGAGGAATAAAAATGGTCCTTGCCTGTTACAAGACAAGAGACAGAAGAAGCTATAATCATCCCCTAAGATCCTTCAGGGTCCCAAGTCTAAATGCCCACATGCGACCAATTCCTATAGCTGTTTAAATGGCCTCTTGGCACCTTCAGGAATCCCTCATATTACTGCCAATAAGTAGGAAGAAAACAAAAAGTAAAAAAAAGTAAAAAAAAAAAAAATTAAAAAGAAAGCAGGCAGAGTGCAATAGTTTTGCCCTCCACCAGTACTTACCCTATCTGTGACTGTTGCTATGATCAGAGCATTTGGCACAAGAAGGGCAGTTTTGGTTTTCTTCAAAAGTGTCACTGAGAGCACAGGTATACTAATCTGAAACAAAATCAATGTAGTGTTAGAGTCCCAAAACGTGCATACAAATCTCTATGTTCTTTCATAGCCTACCTACCATAGCCAGACCTTCAACATTCTTCACTTAAAAGATTTCTCCACTACATCCCTGATTAATAATATTACATATAGAACAGGCATGGTTTCAGATAATTACTATTTCTTAACTATTTTTACTTCTGTTTTTATCAGATGCCAATCCAAGCTTTTCTTTGTTTTCCTTTCCTGATCCCTTCTGGCTCTTAGAAGACTACAGACTTAGTTCACAGTAGACCTGCAGAACAAACCAGTCTTAAAGCGAGGCTCCACTGTTTAGTAAAAAAACATTTCAAAACATATCAGACAAGTCAGGCTTGTTGAAGAATGAACGTAAAAGGCTTCTCACTACTTAGAGATTCTTTAGTCTGCAACAAGCAGCTGAGTAAACAGCTTGTCCTCCAGTAATGTTGAAAGATCCAATATGCACACATCCACCCACTTACTTAAACTGATTCCTGTGTATGCCATCCAGACTGTCTACATTAACACTGAAAAGTTCTCAGTTTTATTTCCTGCTTTGTGTGTACATCCAACCCTATTAGCTTAATGCCTGCTAAGTTTCAGAGTATTTAGCTTCAGATATTCTGAATGGGCTTTTCCTGTAAACCCCATTTTACAAAGGACCAAATACCTGGTTTGACTTTCAGTTGAAAAGCCTAGAGCTTAGCAAGTGAGGCAAATACAGTAATCCTGGATATACATGATTAGGATACAGTTCCTGTTAAAAATTTCTTTCACACACACTGTCAAAACTACCTGAGAAATTTGGAAGCAAGATTAAAAGTGTCCAAAGATTGTTCAACAAGGGATCATAGCACTGAATTAAAAACATGTCAGAGCAGAAGAAGAGTGAAGTTACTCTATGCACAGCTTAATAAAACCTCGACAAGTTTTGTTCAGAACAGCAACACAAAGTCATGAAATGAAAAATTGTTCCGTGTAACAAAATGTATTCCTGTACATTAGCTCGGGTGCAAGATTGCCAGCCACTGTTTAAGCATGGCTAGTCAAGTATCTACTTGTCATCTAAGGACTAGAAACTTGCTCTTTAGTCAGAACTTAGTTTTGTTAAAGAAGTGTGCTAGCAGAAAAAACCCAAACCAATTCAATGCATATAATTTTAATTAGTCTTAGTCCCAGGCCTGGGTCTAAGAATCTGAAAATCTGTTCATCATTTGTCCTATTGATTTTTTAACATGCCAGCTCTATTTGTCCTTCTTCAGAAGCCATGTGTTTTGAAAATGGTTAACTAAATAGGTCCTCCACTATACCTTTTCTTCTTAAACTGAATATTGTATTTTTCCACAAAGTTTTTGCAACACTTTTCACAATAGCTTTTTTCTGGGAGCGAGGAGAAAGGAGCAGCTATGATGTGTGTTTGATGGGAAAAACCCAGAATCTTCAGGTAGTCAGAACAGAATCTGCATTACTTTAAAAAAAAAAAAAAAAAAAAAAAAAAGAAAGAACAAAACCATACCAGAAGATTTTTCAGCAGAAATCCTGCTAGTAATAGTAATGAAAAAAATCCCAGCTTAGAAGTCTTCTAATTGGGTCAGTTCACCTCAAAGAACCTTAAATCAGAGATGTTAATGGCATTCTACTGCATGCTATTTTAATGGATAACATTACTGTAATCAAGACTAAAGTGTACTTAAGTGGGATTAAGTACTTGCTTACTGTATTGTTATCCTAGCATTAGATTAAAATTGTAAAATCACTGCAAAGTACTTTATTTCTATCTGGATTAATTATTATTTTGGGAAATAAGGTTTACCTGCCAGCAACTTGGAAAGCAACTAAAATGCATAACATAATGCTTAGCTCCAGGAAAGACTCAAGGCCAACATATATACCCAAAACCGAACTACCTGGTAAGACAGTGATGTCTTGTAAAGCCTATTCAGTTCTGCAGAAGCAATCTCTTCTTTTTGAAATGCACAGTGTTTACACTGCAGATTCAAACAGACATTTTGTGTCTTGGAAACTTTGTCAGTGTATCTGACTAAGAAGGTTCCTCTTCCTGTCAGGCTTGATTTCTTCCTCTCCCTCGCATTACATTATTTTTAATTATATCCCTGATTTTCCTGGTCTTCTTTTTTTATGATATTCCTAAAAGCTTGTGCCTGCTGAATGTGACTGAACAAAGCTTTAAATGTGTGTTGCAAGGGTAGGGGAAGACAGCTGGAAGTAAATGATCAGGCTCATCCCCTTCATTTTTCATTTTCCCTGCAATGTTTTCTGAAAACAATGACCCAGAATTGAATAATCTGGACTATCACTATAGCCACCTTTACAAATACTGTCCACTCTGACATATCTTGTAATATGTTTTCCCTTTCTATTGTATACATAAATACGTATATATTTCTGCATTTAAAGCCCTGTTGACACAACAGCATTTCTTAGTACTCCATCATTATCATTCTGCATCTTTTTTTCCATGTCTTTCTAGCCTTATGGTAGACTTCTAGTAGGTTTTTGTACACATTTAGCTTATCTTGAATTCACAGAACTATCCCACAGTTTGATTAGTCACATTTGTTTGTGATGAACATGAGATTGCTAGTACAGCAGCTTCAATTTTAATAAATCTAATTGTCAAGATAGCTGTTAGTAATTATGAATGACAGTATTTCCTTGTCTGTGCCATATGGCTTTCACCAACATACACACCATCTGTATTAACCTACTGCCTATGACTAATAGAATTCATTAACTAGGAATTAACAATAATTCAGTTTCTAGGGCCAAGAAGTAAAACACGATAAACCCATAAAGTCGCTATGAACAATGTGTTGTTCATAACTTTAAGCATTCTTTAAATCTATTCCACCTTGTTAAAAGCCTTTTCAAAAACAGATCAAAATGCCTGACAGCACAGAATGGAGATGCTGTCACCTTCTAAACTGGTTTCAGCACCCAGTTCACTGAAAAAGGGTTTGGATCTAACCAGGAACTTTGTTCATGGAAGCACCTGAGAAAGAAGCCAAAGAAATTCTTGCAGCAAATTGAGTTGCTTCCCAAAAGAAGCCCAAAAACAAAGCAGAGTTTATATAAAAACAAACAAAAAAAACCCACTCCAAAAGCTCCAAATCAACAGAACCAGAACACAAATATTTTTAGAAAGGCTTTATTTTCATCTGCATGCATTCATTCACCACAGGGGGCCCAAGCCTTAGATAGGTCATATCTGCACAGAGAAAGAGTAAATTATAATCTTGGAAATTAGGATCTTCCCTACTGTTCATGTCCCATTTCTGCTCTTCATACCAGGCTCACACGTAGAAACTTGTTTTTCTTTCCCCATTCTCTGTTTACACAGAACAAAAGGAGTGCTAGAAGAATCCCTCAATGACTTTGCCACTCAACGCAGACGCTAGGTTTAGTTCTTCCTCTTTATTTGTCTTAATATGCTTGATCCTTCTCTCCAGTTCCCCAACTACAGTCTTGTAGTCCTTACACTTTTCAGCCTTCCTACCTCCTCTTCCTTCTCCTCTTTTCCATACTTCCCCCAAGAGAGACGTTTTTGTACAGTTTGTGCTACATGGGTTTGGCAATGACCTCACATCTGCACTGTCAGATCCTTTCCTTTCACCTACTTTTTTCAGACAGAAAGTCCTTAAGAGACTTTCTTTAATAATAGTGATCCATAACTAGAGTGACTTTTGGGTATTGCTTCTGAATGGTGACTGTATTTAATAATACTTAGAAGTATTAGTGCATAATAATGTGAACTTCTGGTGATGAATAAATTATTAAGGAATAGCATTAGTGTTCTGTACATAAAGATTTTACTAACCTTAGTGTCTTTACCAAAAACCTTGGAATGAAAACAAATCCAGTTTTCGGAAAGGAATAACTTTCCTTGGTACAGAATTTCTTTCTGCAGAGCACAGGTAAAACCTGAAATAAAAAGATACTCTATAATCTTTAAGGTAACCACAACCCAAGGCCACTGTTACCAGTTTGGCTTTTGTTTTGCTCTCAGAAGCCAAGAATTCTCCCTGAGAGAGTACCACCTAGCTTCCTATGAACTTTCTGACTAGCTTTCAGGTAACTATTATGTAAATGTAAAGAGCTTAATGAAATGTTTTAGCTTTAAATCTGGACTAGATGACCAACAGAGATACACCACACGTAAAGTAACACTGCTTTTACTTCACAGCCATTGAGTAAACCACTTCTCACTCAGGAACCACTTTGCTTATACTCCTTTCAAGAAACATTTGGTACATATCTATGCAGAGATCAATCAATTCTTGTAACTGCCACAGAGAACAGTAGAAACTTTCAACATTTTAGGTCCTTCTCCTACCACTGTTTTTAAATCTCAAAGCATCATCAACAGCAAAAACTCAAACTAGTTTCAGGACCAGTACTACCTCCATTATGTAGCTCCTTTAGTAAGGAAGCTTCAGTACCAAAAATATGTTGAACTGGGTTATTCTGCTAAGAAGTGCAAAGTGGGCTACAGTTCCCAAAGATGCTGAGCGTCTGAAGATTTAAGTTTTGCAAGGTAACAACAGAAACACCCACTGCATGCAGATGAAGGCCTTGTAGCTCTAGGCAGCTGGAGTTTAACGTTTTTAAAATGTAGGTAGTCCCTCCTGTACATAACCACAAGATTGGTGGGTATTGACATTATCTTAGACCCACAGCCAGCAAAGACAAGGAGGTTAATACTTACTTTGTTTCAGTGGCTCATCAATGGGAACATCTAGAAACAGCTTATGAAAGTGTGCATTTGCCTTCAGCTAAAAAACAAAAAGCCCCACACTCAGAGACACATACCTTATTAGAAATTCTTACAATCAAGTGACCCATTCCACTTCCTGTCCTCCCAATACCTTCTCATTTTGCCCACTTATTTTACAATAAATCCTCATTTTTGCTATGTGGCTATTAAGTCTGTATCCTGCTTAACTCAGACTCTAATACACTGATGAAAAAGGCATCTATGCCCTTATACAACCATGAATTATAATAATGTTAAACAAGAGGGCTCTCATAGTAGTTAATGTATTTAGTCTTACTATATATATAAACAAACAAGGTCATCCTCTGCCCTACCTGATTTGAGGCACGCTTTTTCCTTTCAATCTTGGAGTCACTCTTGATATCCCTTGTCAGGAGTGGACTATCTGTGCTGCCCTTTGTCCTGAAGATTAAAAAAGGCATTCCATATAAGCTTGGCCTCAGTTCATTAGGGGTAAGTTATCAACAGGCTGTGGTTTTCCATGTAACATATTAATCTTTTAATAATTATTATCTGATTCATCAAGGATCATGTAGCAATAGAAAGGAGTATATCTTATTCTTAAACCATGACAGCCCTCACTGAAGGTCTTTTAATTTAGAAGGAATATTCTCACTCACTCATTGTAAGGAAGTAAAAAAAAAGTTCAAGAAGTCTTTATAACTTAATGAATTATTACTGTGCTTATCTCTACACTGATTTATTTCTGGGCATGATGTGAAATACTAACACTAAGCATGTTACTATTGCAACATAAAGAAAGATAAAACTTAGTAGCTGAGAGTGCAAGGTAGTGTACTGAAAGCTATGAACTTACTCTACAAAATGTGAGATCATTTGGAAAGTGCAACAGAGAAGAAACATGGGTGCACAAGTCAGAGGATGGCTGTGAACTGTGTAATGTAGCGTAATTAAATCACTGAGATAGACAGCAATCCTATCTAGACGGCCTGAAGAACATGTGCTAAATGGGGAAAGAAAGGTGCTACAAAAGTATCCACTAGTGCACCTTATCCTGCACAATAGTATTCTTCCCTAAAATTTAGAGGTTCAGGATTTCCAGTAAAAACTGTGAGGGTGACAGGAAGAGAACCCCCAGGTGTCATGGAGATAAAGCTGGATTTAGAAAAGAGATTGTTCAGCGGGACTGATTTAGAAAGCAGGGAGACTGTCTGCATATCTCAGGTGGTATCTCACAGAATAAATCTCTAAATACATCTGTACACGTACTTGTGTGTCTACCTGAAGTACAACTCAAACTGAAATGAACAGTGAGCCTTACAAAAAACTTATGCTAACCTGTGACCAGCACACAGTCAATCACATTGTATCTGACAGGTTAAGACTGGAAAGAGGGTTTGGAGGGAAAAGAAAAAAACCCAAAAACCAAAAAAGTAATCACATATTTCTTCAAATACCTTCTCCTCAAAGATGCTTCAGAAAATTAAGTGATGTTTTTTACATATCTGCCTTGTGACCAAAACCACAGTGCCAGGTCGACTGCTAACTTCTGGATTAGCTGCTCAGTTGACAAAGTGAAAGGGATATAAAATTTGTATTCAAGCCCCCCAAGTGGGATTTTAGTGTTATTTAATTTTCTTTTAGAAGATTTTCAAATGCATTCCAGTTCTCCAACAAGGGGAGAATGACTGCTTCTGCAGAGCCATTACAATATTCTGATGCAATATACAGCACAGAATCCAAAATTAAAACTTTTGTCATAGCTTTACCATGGACAATCAATATTCCAGCATGAAAGTGTTCTGGCAACAGCTCAGGACTCAAATTGCAGCTGAGTTTGACTGCCTGACAAATTGACTGTGATAGGGATCTAACTAGCAATGGCACCAAACAGAGCAATGTATTTTTTTCTAGAACAGGGAAGCTAAGACAGCTGAATGTCTAAATTCACACTATTGTGACTGCTTGTGGTGGGTAACAGAGTAAACCCTGGAAGGTGGTTCTGATTCCTGTTTATTTGCATAGCGTGCAACCCAAGGGTTGTCTGACAAATCTTGCTATTCAGTGTAGTTTCCTGAATGGGCTATAAACATTCCGAAAATCTGACTGGAAGAAAATTTACAGCATTTCTGACATTACCTAGCAACATCAATTTTCTTCCGGTCATCAAAATATTCCATTTCACTGGTAGGGGTCTGCAGCAACACATTAGGCGATTTTCCTGCCTTTCTTTTTTCATCTGTTCCATTTTCTCCATCTGAACTGCAGAGAGGAAAAAAAAAAAAGAGAGAGAGTTAGACATGTGTATTGCAGGATTCACACCAATGTCAAATGCCACTGCAACATACTGATACATATTTAATAGCAAAATTATGATGTATCTTTTATATTAAGGTCCTGAAAAGTCTTCATCTACTGCCTTTACTGCCTTGACAATATTATACATTTGAACAGTATTCTGAGCTCCAGTATTGGAATTTCAGCAACGAAGAGAGGAAAACTGCAATGCTGCCATGGCTATTTCAGTGCTCATAAAATTCGCAGCTCTAGCTTCCAGTCCAAAGAGAATGTCTCATTTAGGAAAAATGCATTCCATGTTCAGTACTCAGACCCAATGACTAATGGAAATTAATTTAATTGGCAAGTTGGGAGAAAAACATCCTGCATGACAGTACCTCGTGCTTAGCAGATTGTGTCTCAATCTTGCAAGAAGAAGCTAAGTCCTATTTTGCCTTTCACTTTCCTCTTCTGTGAAAGATCATCTGCAGGATTTTCACAATAAAGTATCCTCTCAAAGTATCAAAAGTGCTGGTTTTATTTCACAAAAGAAGCGCATGCCACTGCCTGAAAAATATATATTAAGAAACTAGAGTCTGAGGACTAAGAGATGTGCCAGGAGAGACTTTCCATGACTTTCTTTTTTGTAATTTTCTAAAAAAAAGTTAACTCAGAAAAAACAGAGATAAAAGCTGTCATTAACAGCAAGGTCTGAAGAATGACAATACTTTAAAATAAGACATGACAAATACACACACACACACACACACACACACCCCCTCCTTTGGAAGACTAAAGCATCAGAAAGACTACAGGATGCTCTCAGCATTAACAAAAGCCAACCTCTGCTGCCCATTAATTTAATGCCTGGCCTGAATGACCCCCTTTACAGAAGCTTCCCATTATAATGTTTAATTTCTGCAATTTTACAGCAACAACAGCCACTGCCATCATGTGAGGGCATACTGACAATAAACAGTTTATTTTCCTACTAAAACAGAAGTTTTGCTGACAGAGGTTCCCAGACTAATTTAACCTCCATTTTCTTCTAGGAAGGGCATAAAAGGATCCATTGCTTTGATTACACTTTGGTGAATAAGATGCGAAGATACATCTCACAAAATCTTAATTGAGATCTAATGAGGAGGTAGCCTACCTTGCAGCTAAACTAGATCTTATGTCGCAGGACAAAAGCCATGGAGTTTTGCCATGGTGCTGAGACTTGTTCTACATTTATGTAGAGCATTCCTCTCTAATCCTTCCTCAACCCTTAGCACCCCCCACCACAGGGGCACTGAATTTATCCTTCCCAAGTCACACTTTGAGTATACTTGAAAGGGTTACAGCACTAATAAAGTCAATGAGGAATATTGCTTCACTCTTGGATCAGCCCTGCTTGACCACAAGGCACCAGCTTTTATTTTTGGCCAATATAAACTAGAATTAAATGGGCAATTCAAGAGATTTAAGCGGAACCCAATCTTTTGCCTGAAAAACCCTAATAAGCAGTTTTATGGTGTTTGAGATTTTAAGCAGGGAGATAACTGTCAACCCAAGGTGCTCCCTGCAAGCATAGAGGAGCTTGTATTCCAAAAGTCTGCAAATCCTGCAAATGTCTTAGTCACAGTCTTGCTACCTGTTATTTTTCTGTTCCCCAAATTCTTGGGCTTCAAGGGAGGCCAGAGAATACCAGACACGAATGGGATGAGGAACAGGGAAGGCAATATTGTCAAGTTCAGTCACACCTGCATTTCAAAAGAGCAGTGCAGCATGGAAGCTCCCAAGTAAGACTATACAACACAGCAGTATTTTTAAGGTGTAGCTGCTTGAGCCTAGAGCCTGGTTGGTGTCTATCATTGCCTTTGGCAGCCTCCTATTCTTATACAGTAATGCTATCGACTGATCAAAGCAGCCTGTATCACACCCACACTTCTGTACTACAAATTTGTCTCAGAAATACCTATAAACACAGGTTTTAGTGTTCACTTCCACCTGCCAGCACAGTTAGATGTTCTGTTGCTCTTAAATACTTTATTTACTTACCACTCATATTCCCTTTCCCTCACCCATTAATTAATACCTACTTCACAGTTAAACCTATGAGCCTGTTCTATCCTGTCTTCCCTACTAACCACTACTAACCCCAAACCTCTACAATGTGAACTCACTCGCTCTAGCTGCTTTCAGATGGCGGAGAGTTAGGGCATCTCAGCACACTAACCCTGCTGACTGTTGTATGTAGAAATGCTGAGCTATCTCATGCCAGCCTGGTCACCTCTCCAGGATCAACTTCTGCAGCTGAGAACAGGGAGAATGTACCCAAACACTTCAACAATTTCCCCCAAAACGTCTCAGGCATGAGGAGATTCACCCGTGGAACATATGCCACTGACAGGAGTGTATTCTTACTGGATGATACGGTCTTGCCATGTCTATCTTTCACCCTACCTCCATAAGCCACCGTCACATAATGAAAAACTACATAAGGATTTGTCCTTATCCTTCAGCTAACTATAGCTCCACACAGCAGCTAAGTCCCTAGCAGGTGTCTTTAAAGTACCAGAAGAATCTTAGCAGACCTTCTGCAGAAGGAAAGATCACAGGTATGACCTAAAAGCAGTACAATCTTGTTCATCAAGTCACATGCAAATTAAAATACTCCTTACATTTTCATGTGTGAGTCAGGATTAATAAATGCTTTGTAAAAAGAGCACAAAAAATAGATTACGTGCACTCAAGAAACAAAGTGATGCTCACTATAACTATTAGCAGTAGTTGCATATAAGTAAGTGAACTGTATTTGCAAATATCAGGGCAAAGTGATATCAGGACTTTGTTGATATGAAAACATTTTTCAAATTGAACATATATTCTGTACCAAGCTTATTTAAAATAACAGCTAAAATAAAAAATAAAAGTTGCCTCTAGTTTCCAAATAAAGAACAGTTGTCACAGGAAGTATCTTCAAAGCCAAGGCCTGCGCATACTATGGGATCATATCTTGTATCTAAGCCAGTTAAAATAAACATTAGTTGCAAGCACTGTAACTAAACTTTTTGCAATAAATGTTTCTTTTCCTTTTTTAAATATACACCAATAACTGAACAGTCATTTAAGATTAAATCACAGAAAGGGGAAAGTGTTATGAAACACATTAACCAAGGAAGGGGACTAAGTTTCATTCTAATGATGTTCAGAAGTATATTATTTGTCAATGTATTTTAAAGTCAGAGGAACTTAATCTCTTCTGATCCGAATGGTTTCTGTGAAACAAAAACTGTCACACTCAGGTGTATCAAGTTCCTCATACTGCAGAGAGTTTTCTGAACTTCAAAAAGTTTTCTTGTTTGGCGCTAATCTTGCCCAGGACCTGAAAAACTCAGACTTCCTGTGAAAATTATGCTGTGTCACATAATGAGGATTTTCCAAGAGGAAAAAAAATTAAGGACAGTAATCAAAAATATAAACTTTTTCCCTGTTTCATTCAAAACTAGTTTGAATAAGAAACACTGAACAGAAATAACATGAGAGATGTGCTAACAGGCCACAGCTTGGAAAGTGAGCCTTAAAGAACCACCACTATCTCTGACAACTCCAATACAGTCTTATCAGATGTGAACAATTCTCAGGCACATGTAAGAGACAGCAAAGACTCCAGAAACTGTACAGTGGTTACTGTCTCTAACTCCCCACAACCACACAAACCTTTCTACAAAGGTTCCTCAGATCCACCCCAAAGGACTTCCATGCTACTTGGTCTGCATGATAACAGATCTGAAAAGTTCAGCAGCCACAAAAAGTTGCGACAAACCAGCTCCCCAGTTCACAAGCTGCAGATCAGTTACACAGGAGGAAAAAGGCATCTTGAATAACTAGAGACCTTAGCTACAACTTCAACTGTTTGCAAAACTGCAGCCAAACCAATATTTCCCTAGGGTTTAACATGAGTCAGCGCTGCTGCAACATTCTCTGTGTGCATGGAGCATACATACCGGATCATCCTGTTACCTTAGAAGCCCTGTTATCCTGCTTTGTCTCTTTTATACAAAAAGGATTAATTTTGCAACAGCGGTTAGACTGCTGTATTATTGCAAATAATAAACCAAAAGAGTGTGGAGTAATTTGTCCCCTACTGTCCCCAACCATGCTTGGTACAATGTATGTGGAAATATCTGTCACAAATAAAAGGACATTCTGTATCTTTTTGTTCTGTTTGGTAGCTATTGGATTTACTGGGTAGCTGTTAGCAGACTGAAAAGGTTTGACAAAAGAATCAAAGTCGTGCAAAAGGCCCAAATACCATGAGATAGTGTTATTTAAGCTATTCTTACTCACAGATATGAGTCTATTCAGATAAAGGAACTGGTTATTCTTTCATAAACTAAAAGCCAAAGGGAGGGGCTCAAAACATTTCAGGATCTCAAAATCAAGATGACAGACTTTGACAGCCTTAAAAGCCGAGGAGATGGAGCAGGATGAAGAGATTTATCCAGGCAGCATCCAGGAGACACACAGGCAACATGCTTCAAGCAGAGACAACTGCAAGGGGGTGAGACGAAACGTGCTAACGCCTGAGAGGACAACCTGCTAAGCACGCTGCAGGCCAGAGGCCACCTCCTCAGCAGACTTTTCCTGACCTATCACATCCTGAAGGAGCAAACACCTTAACCTTCCTTTTGCTAGGCCTAAAGTCTTAGGTCTTAAATCTTTCAGAAGGTATGTCCTATCCTCTCACTAAACATCTTTTCTACGCTACATCAGTTTTAACAAAGTTTTTATGTATGTGTAATCAGAATCTGGACCGGTTTATCTGATGAGCTTGTTTTCATACCTTACAGAGTTGAATTATTTCACCCCTGAACTGAAGAAAATAACTTTTGCATTGTAAACTTTCCTGCTGTACTGTTCATAGCAGATGACAGTGGTGTCTCTACTGGATAACCTCGCAGGAGTGCTCAAGTTGAGGATTTAAATGTTGTCTATTTCTAAAAAGGCTGGTCACTCAGAGGCAAAACGCCTCCAACAGTTCTACAGTGCTCCAGTGTTATGTGGCACATGGCACTGTTTATGGGAGAAAATACATCCCCTAAAAAAAAAAAAAAAAGACTCAGAATAATGCTACAACCAAGTACCACCTTTACTGTGCAAATGGAAAGCCAAAAATTGACTATCATTGAGACAAACAGGCAGAAAATGAACTACAGCTACTCTGATCACAAAGAAGCAGGGAGTTGCTTAACAGCTGCTACAATAGATATTAAGGATGGCCATAATGTATGCATTTGGTATTTGTTAAAATTCCATACACTGCCTGCACTTAAGGCTGAAAAGCGAAGGAAGTAAAGCAGCTGATTCTGGAGTACAGCATTTCTTATATATTTTCTACAACAGATATACAGCTAGCAGATGTATTAATACCAAATATGGAGAGCTGCAACGCATTAATGATGGAGCCGAGATGTGAAACCCTGCATGAAGGAAAGGGTCAGTTTGTTAATATGAATAGGTATGAACCAGACTGAGATTTAAATACCTCAGGTTGTTCAAGGAGCAGGCTAATTCTCTTCTCATTAGATCACAGTCAAACACACCATAATGGAGGCAAAGTTATACAGATGCACATTAATTGAATATCATATGTATATGGATGGGCACACATGCATATACACCACATATTTCTCTATGGATTTCTAGGATGAAACAGGTCGGCAGGAATCTCAATGTCAGCTAGCATGGAAAGAAGAACCAATAAAATTGTTAAGACTTTTTAAAATGGTGAATCTTATTTTATATATCAAAGCAATTAACTTCAGAAACATTTGCTGTGTTCTATTTCACAGCTCTCTCTTGGACCATAACTGCTCACTTGTAAGTAGTTTTGTATGTCTGTCTTGCTGTATTTTTAGTAAAAGGATGAATGAAATTTTTGAGTTAACAGTGAACAGAAAACCTCCCAAAGCTGCTAGGGATTAGTGACTTAGAGGAAGTCATTTTTTTTTCCCTCAACTGAATTGACATTTCACTTAGTAACCAGATCAAGTTTCACACTAGCTTACCACTTGGACATCAGCAAGATCACTGTGACACCACAGACGTCACTAGCAAGTATGTAAATTCTCTGCTCTAAATACCATCTATTATTAACTGGCTGTATTCCCTGTCTAATCAAAACCAGACTGCTATCAAGTTCCATAGAAAAAAAAAAAAAAAAACCCACAGAAGAATTCCCCTGTGCTCTGAAACATGAGACACTATAACAAGATATTTTATTAAGTTAATATGAGAACAGGAACACAAGCCATTTAGCTCTCTTGTCTTTTCAAGAGTTTCCGTTTCAGATATCCACTTCAAAAAGCAAAAGCCCTCTTCTATCTATTTTCACTCAACCCCACAAGATTCCCATGATGCAGTTTTCATGGGAGTGTCATCAGGGCGACCAACAACTATTTATTTGAACATCGGCATGGCCAAATCCAGCAGACGACACAAATCTTTGACAGATACATTTCTGAGAAAAATGTGAAGCAAAAGACCTTAGGGGAGACACTCATTCACATGTAGTTTGGACTGGAGTATGTCTTCCTTTCATTCTCCAACTTGCTGGCAGCCTTTAGGGGGAAAGGTTTTCCTGTCTCTAGCCTACCTTATCTTCTATCCCAGAACAAGACAAGAAATGGGATCACAATTCCTACTGAAGAAGAAGCCAGTAGCTTTATATCAATCATATTTTTATCTTTAACTTTCAGAGGTAACAGCAAAAAGATAAAAGAAAGAAGAATTCCTGATCTATGACTTGTTAAGTGTGCAGAAAAGAGGGCAAAGGCACTTAATTGTCAGGTCTACCAACTGTTCTATAGCAAATTAAATAAAAAAGATAAATAATCTATAGACAATGCATGTCTTCAGTATGACTTCATAGGCATCTCTCAGTTAGATCTGCTCTGTAACTCAGGCAGAAACAACACAAATCTCTCTCTGGAACAACACAAGCACCTTTACAAATGAAGTGTGATCACCAGTGCATAAGCATAAAGGTTTGGCCTCATTACC